AATTTCCAAAGTTTCCCCAGCAAGAGCTTGAAATGTGCTAAGGAAGGCTCATGATTGCCTAACACATAGTTTCTTGCCCTTGCCTACCTAACACATGCTGTTCATTACCCCCAGATAGGGCTCACGTCATCAGCAGTCAGGGTTTGGGTACCCCAGCATTATCACCCAATGTAGTCTGTGGGGGCCCTCATTGATCTTGGGTGGCCACCCCAAAAGTCTGTTGTCCCCAGCAGCCCAGCCAGACCCATGACAGAGGGGAGCCCAGACCCTGCAGGTGAAAAGCAGAGAAAAGTCTGACCTATTTCTTGCCTAGGAAACAACCAAAGAGGCTGCACGATAAGGAACCCAAGGATCTATGAGGATTCTGAGGTCACCCTGCTCCCATGTTATATCTTCCAGGGGCTGGGACTTCCTGTCCCATCACTGACTCTCCAGGACAGAGAGCTAGCCAGTGAACTCTCCCAGGGTCTTTTTAAGGTCTTGTCTTTTGGATGTCTGCCCAACTCTGTTTGACTAGCTGTACCTTCTGACAAGGCCCTGAGCTGCCTTGCTGCCTGAGATTTCTCGCTGGGGTCTTTTATGCAACCCTGATGGTAGCTGAATGCACTGGGGGTACATTTCTTCTTCAGGGAAGATCAGACGTGGTCTGCAAGGAGCTCAGCAGAGCTACCCCCCAATCCAGCAGGTGATCCCTCAGTTTGGCCCTGAATGTCCAGAGAAAACTATTTTTTTTTAATGTTTATTTATTTTTGAGATAGGGAGGGAGACAGAGCATGAGTGGGGGAGGAGTAGAGCGAGAGAGGGAGACACATGGAATCCGAAGCAGACTCCAGGCTCTGAGCTGTCCGCACAGAGCCTGACGTGGGTCTCAAACCCATGAACCGTGAGATCATGACCTGAGCCGAAGTCAGAAGCTCAACTGACTGAGCCACCCAGGTGCCCCAAAACAATTTGTTTTCTTAAGAGGACTTGTACCTTCAGTGAGACCAGCAAAGAGTGAAATGGTATTCTGATCAATTATACTCATAATAGCATTTGGGAACACTTACTTTATACCACTCATGGTGCCGTGTTCCATATACATCGTTTTATTCAATCCCTATGAGGACCCAATGAGCTGGTAGTTTTACTATTGTCATTTTGCAGTTTGGGGTAGTGAGAGTCAGAGAATATAAATGACATGGTCAAGGCTGAACATTAAGCAAGCGGCAGAGCCAGGAACCAGAAAAAAAAACCCAAGCTGACTGTGGAGCTTTGATCACATGTTCCCGGGAAAGTGAAGGTGCTGATGTCAATGGCAGCCACGTTGTTCGGGTTTAGTCAGAACCGCTAAAGAGGAGCTCAGTCCTGAGCAGGGAGTTGAGCTGTAGGGAGGGGCTAGCATGGATCATTTCTGAGAAAGCAGAAGGGCTTTTCAAGAGAGGGCATGCAAGAAAGGCAAGGGGGTTGGTATAATAGGAGTATGTGAGTAGCAAGGAAATAGCTCTTTAGACTAGGAGGTGGACATTGAGTAATGACAAATAACCTGGGATAGGCATGGGGGACTGAGCTCGAATGGAGTCCTTGGAAAGGGAAGAGATGGCTATTTCCAAGAATGGAGAGAAAACTAGGTTTGAATTTTTAACTAATTAAGCCAGCTTTTAAATTTAGAGCCGGGCGGCAGGGCGGGGGGGGCCTTCCGAGAGAACTCTGCCGGGGTTTTTTTCTTCCAGTGTAAGGAACTGCCCTGGGAGGATTCGCAGAAACCCTCGCCTCCAGAGCCACACCATAGAAGCCAGTCTCTGGACAGGTTGTTACACATCCCATTACCACCGGCGTCTCCCCTGCTGAAAATGCACCACTCCCCTCACCCCCACAAAGCTGAACTGACACAGCTGGGTAAAGCCCCTGTCACTCTTCTCACCTTCACCCAAGGAATGGCAGATGGCCTCTTGTGATTCTTCAGGACTCTGCCATCCGTGGAGGTGACGCTGACTCAGAAATCTCAGTTTACTCACAGACTCTGTGAGCTGCTGAGTCATTTAACCAGAAAGCACTTCAGTCTGGAACAACCACCTTTCCCCCACCATAGAATAACAATGTTTTGTTTGTTTTTTTTAAAGCAGCAATTTTTTAATGATGTGAGCAGAAATCCTTTGGCTCTTTGGAGACATGCTCTACTGAGGGCTATTTGCTAAGACCAGCAATCTGTTTCTGGCACGGAGAAGGAAAATAAAATTATTTTGTTGTCTTGAAATGATGCATGAGTTCAGGGAAAGCTGCACCACGCTTGGGGATGGGGAGAAGGGAAGCCAGAGAAAGCCGTGCATACAACGTCTGTAAAGAAAATGTTTTATTTAAAGTGTTAAATACCATCACCAGAATGAATTTGATTTACATTAGTTGGTGTTCATTACAGGACTAATCTGCCCTTTTTTTTTTTTTTTTCCCAACTGGAATTCCCTTTACTTTGAAAACATACTATGTACAGGGCAGCAATGGTCACTGGAATAGTGCTATTTACATGACTAAACCACAAGTTGAGGTGCAGACATGTGAAAAATTAAAAAAAAAAAAAAAAATACACCAACTTTTAAATAAATACTGCATAATGACAAGTATGTACAAATATCCCATACAGTCATGTCCTTCTTATTAAAATCAGAAATAATTTATATAGGAATATGCACAAAAGATTATGTGACTGCATCTTAGTATCAGGAAAATGGTAAACGTTTATTCTACGGGAGAGTATAGACACTATAGGTCTATTAAATCAATTGCTGCTGGTACACAAGTGTCTAAATTATTTCCATAAAGTTTCATTCGTTCTTTTAACAACTTTACCTGGGTCCATCGTAGATCTCAGAATGTCAAGACACAGTCTCGGTGTATTTCATATTGCACCACATAAAGAGAAGGCATTTTTAGTGATACTCATTTTAACTTTTGCACCATATCAAGCATGATAGTTTTTAATGGTCAGCATGGAATTTAGAAAGGAAAAAAAAAAAAAGAAGAAGAAGAAGAAAGCAATTTTTGTGCATGGCCTTAACTGGTATGTATGTGGATTTCAAAAGTTACGGTAAGAAATTGAAATCGACCTGTAAGAATGCATTATCAAAGTGTACATAAAGAAACAGAAAGTGTGGGTGGTTTGTTACATTAACCAGTGACTTCTCCTCTCAATAGGGAAACTTAAGAGAAATTCGACCTTGCAGCACCACCCAATGGTAATAACTGTCTGTAAAACCAAAGGCAGGGGTTTGACCTAGGGGATTTGTGGTGTAGACTTTTGGTGATGGCATGAAAGAACTATTAATAGGCAGATTGACTTTCTTTGAGTCACCTAAAAATTGGAGCTTTAAAATTATTTGTTGCATATTTATGTTTACTATATTTCTTTAGAAATATAATTTGTGAAAAATTGTATTTTACTACAGAAAAATGAATTAATAAACAGCCCTGTGTTTCAGGCTCCAAATTTTTAGCAGTGTTTCTATTCACATAGTAAATGGAAATTGGCTAAAGAAATTGCTTTAATTAATTAAAAAACAAAACCTAAGACCTTCTAGAAATAATACTTTAACCCCTGTATGAATAATGCTGGTGCTAAAAACAAATTTATTAGACATTACAATGGCCACATGATTGTAGGGTTTTCCTGTAAACTGAACTTTGAAGGTGAAAATAAAAGTACCATGCACTGTACAATAAATTGCAAAAGTTCAAATATCTTCTTTATCAAATACATGCTGACTTACTTCAATGTACTCCCAAGTCATGTTGCAAAATCCTTTCCAACATGCTTGAAATAAAGAAAGCTCTTAGTTTCCCCCCCCCCCCTTGAGAAATTCATAAATTCAGAAGCATCTGAGTCAAACATGGGGCGTAGGGAGTATCAGGTCAAAAACTTGCAATCTTTTAGCATAATCACTCTGGTAGGGAGAAAGAAAACAAAAGATTAAAAGAGCGAAGAGGAAAAGTAAGACAGAGAAGAGGAAGAAAGATGCGAACAATTTGCACATATTGAACTTCATAAGATTTGTATATTTGACACGGAAATAAATTGAATATATTATGCTTATTTGTCACATAAAGAGAATTTTAAGTATCTTCTAGAAAGTATTCTCATTTGTAATGTCTGCCAAAACACAGACTATGATCAGTTTAAAGAATAAACATGGTGTCTCTTTGTACCACCCCGCTGCGTTCTCTCCCCTTTTTAAAACCATGCAATAGTGAAATTTACTTTTAAAAATAATATAAATTGTTGAAAATGGCTGATTTTTATTCTTTTTTTTTTTTTTTTTTTTTTTTGCAAGTTGCAGCCCCAAGAAAATAATTTAAGTATTCAGCTAATCTGTGTCCATGCAAAAAAAGTTTAATTTCATTCAGTACAGTGTAGCCACAGAATTTTGTTTTTCAGAGTCCAACACATCGTGGCATTAGTGAATGGCGTGCCCGCCGGAGCTCTGAGTCTGCCACTGTTCACGCAGGACTGGCCGCTGCTGGTCACACTCCAGAGGAGGGCTGACGTCTGTCCCGGACCACTTCTTTGGTCTCTTGCTTTTCACCTGATGCTTCCTAGGACTTCACTCCTTGACCTGTAACATGGCTTAATGACTGTATAGCTCCATTTCTGTGGCGTAACAGGGCTTTGGGGTCAGAGAAATGAAGAAAAAGGAACGATAAAAATATAAAGGTGCCATTGAAAAGGGCTTTTGTTGCATGAAACTGACTGATTCTTTGAGATTAATCCATGGCTTCAGATTGGACCAAAACTCGAGTGTTATTGAACTCCAAACCTGATAGTTCTTCATAACTGCTCTTTCACCTGAGGGCCATCTTTAGGGCACAATGTGTGCAACTTCCTCTGAGAACACAGGATCGCTTTGTATCCCTAGAAACAGGCTCAGAAGACACAACATTAAGCATGCAGTGTTACCAGGGTTTGCGACCTGTGATTTTTTTTTTATTTTTTTGTAACGCTGGTTGCTATGACAACAGTTTTACAGCTGCTATGAACGAGAGTAAGAAGGTCCGGTTGAACTTTCCAGAGATGATTGGGAAGCTCTTCTTGTCAGAGGGGCCAAGGTTGGATCTACTAGGGAGGAAGGAGGGAAAAGTTTGAACCATCCAATCACCATATTGGATAGCTCCAGTTCATCTAAAAGTATCTGGGCCACTCCCATAAAGGATTTGTGATCCATGCGGCCATAATCTCCCCAGACAATGATCTGTTGGCAAAATACAAAGGAGAGTAATGTCAGTATAATTATGTACGTGAAAACTCGTAAACTAAAATACATTGAGTTACTGTGTGGATATCAAACGTTAAGTTAAAGAGTTGTATTTTAATTGCTGGGATAGTTGTTTTTAACTACTAGAACCCAAAGGTACATGAGGACAAGTGTACTCGAGTGTTACGATCATAAGCAGTCCAGGGAGATCGGAGTCTGTGTATGATGGGGCTTTGCAAGTCTCTAGTTCACTGTGAAAGAAACAACAGCATCTGTGGCTTTATAGCACCAACCACTGTTGGGACGCTTCCAAGAATTTCGAGTGTGGGCAACTGAAAAGAATGCAATAAGAAGATATGGGGGTGCAAGGTTTGACTCCATGAAAATACTTTCTTATGTAGGGGATAAACAATTCAGTAAATACCTGTAAAACCTTCCCTTGGGGACTTTCTTCAAAAGATAATAGCTGCTGGTAAAGGGGTTCCAGCGTTTTTCTTGCCACCTTTGTTTTCTTTTTGGCTATGCAGACTCCATTATCTAACAGATACACCTTTACATATGGTGCTTGAGAAAGAAAACATAGAGGGGAGAGTTAAGCGATGAGCCATGGTTATGAAATACTCAACTTGCACGTGACATCTACAACAGCTTTACTTTAGGCTGAAAGAGCCAGCAATCAAAAGTCACCAGTCTTTCCACACTGTGTCAAAATCATTAGATAAAGAATAGGTGTTTGTTTGTTTATTTATTATAAAACTGCCATTCAAGTAGTTTTAGGCAATATTAACTCAGAGGCTACTCTGAGTTGTTACTATTATACCATCAAGTGGTTACATAGATATAAACACTGTATTAAATAAGGTGAACTGCTTCTAGTCCCTAACAATATTCAGGAGAGATGTCTTGTTCAGTCTTTCATCTGTCAGGACTTAAATCTAACTAAATGTGCTAGAAGCTATATATTGTTTTAGAAATAAATTATAATATAAATACTATAGTTTATATAATAATATAATATAAATTTTATAAATAAAAGTCATTTATTTATTATTCCAAGGGGTTTGTTTGTTTGTTTGTTTTTATTTTTTGGTTAATGTTTGTTTATTTTCGACAGAGAGAGACAGAGCATGAACAGGGGAGGGGCAGAGAGAG